ACAAAATTCACTAAAGTCAATTTATTGGCAAAGGGCACACTTTGGAAATTGACCTTTTGAGTTCTCCATTAGAACTTAGGATTGGGTTGGCAGGTTGTCCGCTCCATTGTGGACTTCTTTAATTTGTCCCATTTTCCAAAAACATGGATGTAGATTGTCCTCTTTAACAATAACTAAATCACCAATCTTAATTGAAGGACACTTGACTTTCCATTTGGTTCGGACTTGCAATGCACCGATATAGTCTCTTCTCCAACGATCCCAAAAGGTTTGCACTACCTTTTGCAATCCTTGGAATACATGCAGTCGATTTTCAGGCAGGTGTTGTGAAGGTTGATCCAGCACTGATGTTATTGGACGTCCAATTAAGAAGTGACAAGGTTTAATAGGATTTAAGTCTTTAGGGTCAGAAGACATAGGATATAGAGGACGGGAATTTAGGATAGCTTCAATTTGTAATAATATGGTAAGAAAATTTTCGTAGGTTAGAGAAGTTCCTCCAACGATTTTCATTACATGACTTTTAATGCTTTTATTTACGACTAATGTATAATGTGCGTATTATATTTGTGATTTTGGCAGTATAATGACATATGTTATTCCTCCAGGGATTAATGACGAGTAGCGGGATTAATGGTCATTATTCCACAAAAGTGTCAGTGTCAAACGTGTAGTGCTTGTGGATTTGTATTGAAAATTATGAGACGGATGAAATTTGTTCATTGAAAATCTCAAATAAATTAATTTGTCGTAAATAAAGTAGAGTATACTACTCGCAATAATGGCTATTATTCCCTCGGAATGTTACTCCCTCGCCGCTAACGCGGCTCAGTTCGTAATAATCCTCGGGAATAATAGCTATCATTATTGACTCGTGGTATAATCTACTATTAACCCCGGATTCCCATAAATCACCAAAATGGGGTGCTCTAGGAGGAATAAAACTCCAGTTAAAACCTTCATTTGCGGCAAAGTTAATAATTGTTTCTCTATCCGCGTTATTAGTTAAAAATTTACTCAATTCTTTAAATTTATTGTTTGCTCCAACAAAATTTGTCCCATTATCAGAATGGATGGAGCTTTGTTTACCTCGACGAGATACGAAACGACGAAGTGCGGTTATAAAACATTCAGAGGTAAGTTCTGTCACAACTTCAATGTGAATTGCTTTTGTTAAAAAACAAATAAATCTAATATATAAAATTCTCATGTCACAGTTTTAGTTACCTTCGTCCTCCGAAACGGCTTTACCGATTTTTATGAAATTTTATATGTATATTCGGTAGGTCTGAGAATAGGTTTTAAGCTATATTTTATACCTCTAAGTGAAAAGGGTGGTCCACCCCAAAAATTTTCAATTTTTTTTTGCTTCTCACCACTACATAACTTAACTTATTTTTGTTTGTGCATTCAACCGACGTAACAGTATTATCTGATAGCATTTTCGGCTTTACTGATCCCAGAGCGCTCTCTATTTGGGCGGTGACGTCATAGATCTCTACGGAAGTGCTCCGAAAGCAATTATGATCCAAGTGAGGGCACCCTATTTGAAATTAATAGAATCAAGATTCAAGATTCATTTATTTTCCAAAATCATAATACAATTAATGTATGCAGAGCAAATTATTCTAAATTAATGGGAAAAAAATATGTACATGTGCCTAGGCCATAGGCCTGTTTGCACACAGAAACTAAACGGTTACTAATAGCGATTCGTAATTTATAATATAAAGAATAGATTTAGTTATAGTAATACAAAAAATAAATAAAATTTAGAAATTAGTCTTAAAAGACCTACAGTGAATAACAAAAATGTCAGCATGAAAGGCACCTGCGCGCCTAGACTTAGGATCTGTTTGCGCACTGATTCCTCCATGCCAAAATGTAACCATTTCACACTATTGAGACCATTTCTAGGACGACTACAGTAAATCAATATATATACAAATAGCGAAAAAAAAAAAAAATTACAAATTGTATTATCTAATTTATTGTCCAATTTCCTCTTTTCAAACATTATTAGCTAGTAAAAATGTTGTTGCTTGTTTTCGAAATCTTTTTGAATTTTCTATATTTTTTATACAATTATCTAATTGATTGTAAAACTTTGGTCCTAAATAATCAATAAAGTTATGTTGTTGCGTATTTTTATATTTATTTGTTATTAAATTTAGATTTTGTTTACCTCTGGTTTGATAGGTATGATTTATGAATGTGTAGTTTTTTATATTATTGTGCACAAAGCAAGTACATTCCAGTACGTATAATTTATACAAATTAAGTATCTGTAAATCCCTATATAAATCCAAACTTGGAAAGGTTTTTTTCTTTTTCATGATTATTCTTAAGATGTAATTGGTTGCTTTGTGCAGTTGTTTTAGATATATGTCATAAGTTCCTCCCCATATTACCAGAGCGTTCCTTAGTATGGACTCCACCAATGAGTTGTAGACTCTCATTATAAGTTGTTTTGAAAGTACATCTCTTAGTTTATAAAATATAGGAATTAGTTTTCGAATTTTTTTAGTTAAATACAGGGAATGCTGTTGCCATTTAAAGTTTTTATCGAGTACAATTCCTAGGTATTTTATTTTGTCTACTGACTATAAAATTGGTTTTTACTCTAATTTGACCCAAATCGGAGGCGTATTTATCATAGACCGAATAATTTATAAATTTTGTCTTGGATACATTTAATGACAAATAATTATTGTCCAACCAATTCTTAATAATTTCCATCCCCACCTCAGCCCGATTTTTCACTTCTTCCCAAGAATCACCACAAAATGTAATAGCTTGATCGTCCGCGAATGCCGTTAGTTTTCCATTTATATCAAGGTTGCAAAGATCGTTTATATATACCAGAAAGAGTGTTGGCGCTACAACCGTACCCTGTGGTACGCCAATGGTAACCTGCATTTTGTCACTTATATGTTTGTTTAATTTTACATTTTGTGTTCTTGATGACAGGTAGCTCCGAAACAGTGCCAGAGGTAATCCTCTTATTCCTATATTTTCTAATTTATCTAACATTCTCTGGTGGTTCACTGTATCGAATGCTTTCTGTAGATCCAAGAACACTGTAAGACATTTTTTTTTATTATGCAGGTTATTGTTGATATCACTAGTTAATTTATATTTAATATAAATAGCGTCTACGGTGGAAATATTTTTCTGGAAGCCATATTGGTTTTCCGAGATAATATTGTTTTGTACCAAAAAATGTTCAAGTTTTTCTTTTAACGCTTTCTCAAAAATTTTTGAGATATTACTAACGAGTGCTATTGGGCGGTAGTTAGTCATATCTGTCGGGTCTCCACCTTTAAAGATTGGAATTATTGTGGCAGATTTGAGGCATTTTGGTACCACGGCCGTGCTAAAGATTGTGTTTATTATATGTTTAAGTGGTTTGACTAGGTATATATGGAAGCGCTTCAAAAATTGTACAGAAATTTGGTCCTCACCAGTAGATCTGGTATTTTTAAGGCTGTTTATATATGGTGTGGATCTGCTTAAATCATTACTCAGAGGTTCCTTATCGGTGCTTATTTTAGATGCAATGTCATGGCCAATCTTCGTGAAAAATGAGTTGAATAAATTTGCCTTTTCCTTATCATCTGTAATAATTTTATTATTTAGTTTAATATGCGATATACTGTTTTTCCCGTTTGAAGCTTTATCAGTCAGTTCGTTGATTACCTTCCATGTATTTTTTGGGTCAGTGGTGTATTTGTCTAGCTGCTGTTTGTAATAGTTGTTTTTCGTACTTTTTATTAGACTGTTTATCTTATTACGATAATATTTATATGTAGTTTTTAAATAAGTATTGTGTTTGTCTTTATTGAGTTTTTGTTTGAGACGGTCGCGTTTAAGCATAGCTGTTATTATGCCTTGTGTAATCCAGGGTTTTAGTTTAGTTTGTTTGTTGGTTATTTTTTTTTTAATTGTAGAGCCTTGAATTATTCTACGTAGAGTATCTATAAACAGACTTGTGGAAGCTTCACTATCATGCATCATGGTTACCTCGTCCCAATTTTCATGAGAAAGTTTATTTTGTATTAATGTATAGTCCATTTTTTCTATAAATTTTGTTTCCTTTATTATTTTAGGGGTGTTTGTTTGAATTAAAAGTGCAACTGTGTAATGATCTGATAAGTTGTTTTTTACGATAAATGGCGTAAGATCAAGATTATTACTATTAGTGGTACCCCCAACAAAAATGTGGTCAATGCATGATTTTGAGTCATCTGTTACCCGTGTGTAATCATTTATATAAGAAAGATAGCCATATTTATAGAGACAGTTCAAGTAGTCGTTTGTGTAATTATTTGTTTGCGAAAGAATATCAATATTGATGTCGCCTATAAATAGTTTTAGCTCCTCGCTTTTTGCTTTTTGGGTGTTTTTGAAATATACATCCAAGCTTGATATAAAATCATCCTCATTGGTGGAGGGGAGCCTGTATATTGAATCGATTTTAATTGTTGAATCGTTTAATTTAAATTTGATTGATAAGTAATTGAAAAGGTTCACAGTGGTTATTTTTGAGGTAAATTTTATACATTTATTTATATATATTATTAATCCGTCATTTTGATTCATTTTAGATTCATTGTACAGACATTCATAACCAGGTATGGCAACTAAGGATAAATCTTCAAAGTTCCTTGTTTCAGATAAAACTACTAGATGTGCTCTTATTTTTGAGCGATTTAAAATTACTATTAGTTCATCCAAATGCTTTCTTAGGCTAGATATGTTAAGATGTAATATCAATAAATTGCTTAAATAAAAGTCACTTACATAGTTGTCGAGTTCTTTGAAGTCTATAATGTTCACTTCTTTTTTCTGCTTGTCATTCAATATTTCAAGAAAATCTCTTTGATCCATGATTTGCACAAAAACTATCTACTTTATACCTACTTATCTTACCTATTACCAAAGATTTTTTCTTTTTTTTATTTATTTTTTTTTTTTAATTTTTTTTTTATTACCAAAATTTATTGTCTAGGATTCTTATATTTTGTTTTTTTTTTATCCTCATTTTTATCTCCACGATCCCTCAGCGAGTTTATTCTTGCTCTGGAGATTCTTGGAGTTCCTAATGTGTTTGTGGAGTGCTTGTTTGGCTTTGGTATTTTCGGTTCCTCTCTATATTGTGATTGCTCCTCACTAGAGTCGTTCAGGTCTGGTTGTGGATTTGGTGTTGGCGGTGCACTGTGATTAGGAAAATGCTCTTCTTTTGTAATTTCTGGGAATGTGAAGTTTCCTTCTTCGTCTTCCCGTAGATCTTCTACTGTATAAGTTGTTCCATTAACTATAAGGGTATTTTTAACTATCTTTGCACTATATTGCTTTGATTTAGCTGATTTATAATGGTTATACAAAATTTTTTGTTCCTGTCTTTGTTTTGGCGACAGATCGTTAGCAATACTGTAGCCAGTTCCCCTTAGTTTTTTTACGTTTTTAAATACATCCTGCTTTGTTTTTTCTCTGGTGAACTTAACTAGTACAGCTCTTACTTTATGTTCTGATCTTTCACCAATTCTATAGAAATTATCTAGGTCGAAATATAGCCGAACATACTTTAATTGTTTTGTTTTGATCAATCATTGCTTTATCGAATTTGAGCAAGGAATAGCGCGTGAATCCGTTTCGGATCGCTTTTTGATCAATCGGGAGCAGTTTTTGAGACAAAAGTCAAAGGCGCTATTATTCATATAAAAATCAATGTTTGTTGGTTTGTTTGTGCCTTATGCGCTCCTACACCACTTATCCGATTACGATGAAACTTTGGAAGGTGTGTGGATAGGTTACGCATCTCGGAAAGAGAAATTAATTTTCAATTAATTATTAATTTAATTATAAACAAACTCATTCACTTTACATAACAGCATATCCCAACTTTTTTTTGACAGCATGAAACAACGTTGCCACATTTCATTTATTTAGACTTGCGCATTCAACTGACGTAACTTTATTATTTTTTGAATTCGAGAACGGCTGGACCGATCTTGAATTTATTACCACGTATCTCTATATAAGCCGAATTGATTGACCTAGATTAGATCGATTTGGGTTCAATTTAAGTGAACTTCTTCTGATCTAGATCATTTTTTTGTTGATGAGGGTGCACTGATCCAACCTCAATCGAACACAGTGTGGTTCACTTAAATTGAACCAGGTCGATCTAATCCGTTCAATCGAATTCGGCTATAGAGGGAAGTGATTTAGGCTATTTTTTATCCCGAAAAAAAGTTCAGTTGCGCGAAACTCTGAAACACTGGAACGCCTATAAACAGCCCGGGGCGCTCTAGAGCAGCTCTGGAGTGCCTAAAGTGCGTCACTGAATTCACTGGCAAGCGACTCTGGTTTGACCTGACCTGAATTTAATTCAGCTACTAGATACGTAAACACAACATTAAATGGGTATTTAATAATTCAGAGGCGGTACGAAGTTCGCTGGGTCAGCTAGTATCTAATATATAAAATTCTCATGTCACAGTTTTAGTTACCTTCGTCCTCCGAAACGGCTTTACCGATTTTTATGAAATTTCATCTGTATATTCGGTAGGTGTGAGAATAGGTTTTAAGCTATAAGCTATTTTTTATACCCCTAAGTGATAAGGGTGGTCCACCCCAATTTTTTTAAATTTTTTCTTGCTTCTCACCACTACATAACTCAACTTATTTTTGTTTATTCCATTCAACCGACGTAACAGTAATATCTTATAGCATTTTCGGCTTTACTGCTCCCAGAGCGCTCTCTATTTGGGCGGTGACGTCACAGATCTCTGCGGAAGTGCTCCGAGAGCGATTATAATCCAAGCGAGGCACCCTATTTAAAATCAATAGCCAAATGATGTAAAATTTTAATTTTAGGTGATTTCTAATCCAGAGAGTAAACATTGGTTTTCTTCAACCAAGGCCAAATTCACCATTGAAAAAAACTGAATTTAATTCATCTACTAGATACGTTAACACAACATTTAATAGGTATTTAATAATTCATAGGCGGTACGAAGTTCGCCGGTTCAGCTAGTAACAATATAAGATTTAATTAGTTTAAAAGGTCTGGTTTTACGATCGCGAGTTATAGACATCAACCGATACTTAAACTGCCAATACCAGGAATATATTGGACGACTCAGCATAATGATAGAATAAGCATATTTTGTATTTTATTATTTCATGGGAGCTTTTTATATAGAATAAGTTTAGTCTTAAGTCACACACTGTACCAGTAAGTTAAGTCTTAGTAAAATAAATCTTTTTTGAAAAGCGTTTGAGTATTTAACTGGCGCTGCGAACAGGATAGTGTTACAAGTCTCTTTATCGTTTTTCGTTGAGATTTGGCGTATCTTTATACCTTGAGCACTATACCAAAAAGAACTTCAAATATTCCTAGCCGAATCCTTTGGCCCCTCTATTGTGAAGCATTGAGGCCATCAGACAAAGCACAGAAAGAAGAAAGAAACTCCACCGGGTGAAACTCTGGCAACTCTTCATTCTTCGAAGTGTCGCCGTGGATCCTAAGATTTCAAGTATTTTTTCTGAAATCAGTAGACTGATATCCGTGCGTGACAAGTACCGTAAATTTGAACTTTTGCTGCTAAAAGTTGTGTGTTTTTGTGATAAAACTTGATAAAAAATGCTATGGTTCATCTTGATGCCCCTTTTTATGTAAGTAATTACTAAAATTGCCATATTTTTTACATGTCTGATCCTAAACAACTTTTGAAAAACGCTTTAAGTTCAAATATAAAAAGACTAGGCTTAAAAACCAAGAAAAATAAAAAATCATCATCACTTGCTGAAAAACTAGAAACTGTTAAAAATAAATCCGATTTAAATTTGAGCGAATTATTCTCAGAGTTAGATCTTGCATCTTCTAGTACTAGCAAATCTAGTGATAATAATAAGTTGAATTTTGATACTTCATCTTCAGAGGAAGAAGAAGAGCAACTTGAATTCTTTTCTTATAATAGCCTAATTAATTCAGATAAAATGGACGTACTGCGATCTTTTGCAACCATTTTACCTACCTTTTCTGGAAATCCAGAACACTTAGAATCTTTTATTTTGTCAATTGACGAATTTCATAGTCTATATTATAATGGCGAAGAAATTCAGAAAAAATTTGTTTTTAGTGTTATACGCTTTAAATTAGTTGAAAAATCTAGAGATTTTATTATGAGTAGGCCAGACCTTAAAACCTGGGCCGATATCAAAATAGCTCTTACAGAAAAATATGGAGATCCAATAGGATACCAAACATTGATGCAACAATTAAATTACATCAATAAAAATAAGCACGAAGAACTATTAGATTTTGTGCAAAGATTAAAATTATTTGTGCAAAGAATAAATTCTAAAATTCAAAGTGAAAACATAGACAATAATTCAAAGTTAATTTTAATAGCACAAGCTGAAAAAACTGCAGTAGTTGTTTTAATGTCTAATGTTCCAGAATCTTTGAAAACGATTTTACTTATACACAACCCTAATACTTTAGATGCTGCTCTTGTACAAGTCACAAATTATAATCTCATTGAATCGCAAATAAACTTGAAAAATCAGGTTACCCAAAAACCTTTCAATCAACAGCGAAAATCTATGAGTTATAATCAATCTTTCAATCAGAATTCGCAGTCATTTAACCAAAATGCTCAGCAATTCAAACAGCAAAATAATTCAAAGCAAACTTTTCCTTCTCAACCCGTTCATGTACAACCTAGACCAGTAAAACAATATTTTTGCTTCCCAAAAGAATACGAATCAAAGGCAACCAAATCCTACCCCAATGTCCGTCCAGTCAGCAGGACCTTCTCGAATAAATCAACAACCACAAAATAAGCAGTATTATAATAATTATTTCCAACCTACTGGTCCTAGAAATTTTGCATCGCAAGAATTAACCAACCTTCAAACAAATCATGAACAGTCAGGACCAAAACTCTGAAGAATATTATGACGATTATTACTATGACCAAGACATACCCAATGTACAGGAAGAGGACACTTCTTTCAATCCCCAGTAGGAGACTCTCACTGCAGAAGACCAAAATTTTCACGAAGAAGCCTCTACCGACCCATTAACTTAAACAATATTGCTCAAAAAATCGAGTTACCTTATTTCTTTCTACCAAAAATGCAAGTTACAATTTTGATCGATTCAGGAGCCTCCGAATCAATAATTAATCCCAATATAGCTAACTTATACCCTGATTTATTATTCTATGAGCCTTTTGAAGTAACCGCATGCAAAAAGACCTACCGTGAAAACACCAATATTAACATTCCACTCTTGCAAGAAATAGGTATTAATTTACCCCTAAAAATGCGTGTTCTTAATTGGCACAACGACTTCGATGACCTTTTAGGAACAAAGGATCTGAAAAACCTAAATGCTGTTCTAGATTATCAAAATAAGTGCTTGACACTTCAACGGAATAAAAAAGTAGTATTTTCACTTGCTTACAACAAACCTCTCTCTAAACCAACTCAACTTGAATAGCAATGCACTATATTCCAGTAAATCTTGAAAATGGAGACGCTATATTACCTTCCTTTCAGATAAATAATCAAGTCGTCATTCCTGATAGTCCAATTACAGTCAAAAACGGACTTTGTAAAATTCCGAATCCACTTCCCAGACATAACATAAAATTTGATCACAGAATGAGAGTTATACCAAAAGAACATTTCGAAATAACTAACCCTCCAACAGACAACGCCCCATTTGAAATTTCTAAACAATTACGTTTAAATCATTTAAACGATTTAGAAACAAGCAAAATAATACCTTTGTGTCATGAGTTCAAAGACATTATGTATTCCGAGAATTGCGACTTATCTTTCTCTAGTCAAACCAAGCACTATATACGGACTACAAATGACCGTCCCATATATGCTAAATCTTTTCGCCATCCTCCTGCCATGTTGCTCGAAATTCAGAGTCAAATTCAAAAACTTTTGGACCTGTTTGGATTGTCCCAAAAAAGGCTGACGCTTCTGGGAAACAGAAATTTAGATTGGTCATCGATTACAGAAAACTCAATGAAGCCACTATCGAAAATAAATACCCCTTGCCAACAATAGAAGAAATTCTGGATAATCTTGGAAAATGTACTTATTTCACCACTCTCGACCTGGCTTAAGGTTTCCACCAAATTGAAATGAGCCCTGATTCCATAGAAAAAACCGCGTTTACAGTTAACAATGGTCATTTCGAATACCTCAGGATGCCCTTTGGTTTGAAGAATGCTCCAGCCACATTCCAGAGAATGATGGACG